CAGCTCAGCTGGCGCGACACCGGCCGCTTCTCCAGCTGCGTGTAGCTTGAGGACGCGGCCCATCGGCGCGTCTTCTGCGCGCTCGGCGCAGCGCCGAGAGCGGTCGTCCTGCCGCGAAATACTCCTCCTCCTCCTCCTCCTCCTCCTCCTCCTCCTCCTCCTCCTCCTCCTCCTCCTCCTCCTCCTCCTCCTCCTCCTCCTCCTCCTCCTCATCCCTCATCATCATCCATCATCATCTCATCATCATCATCATCATCATCATCATCATCCTCATGCTGATCATCCTCATCCTCATCATCATCATCATCATCATCATCATCATCATCATCATCATCATCATCATCATCAGCATCATCATCATCATCATCATCATCATCATCATCATCATCATCATCATCATCATCATCATCATCATCATCATCGTTATCATCATCATCATCACCATCAGCAGCATCATCATCAGCAACATCATCATCATCATGATCATTATGATCATCATCATCATCATCATCATCATCATCATCATCATCATTATCATCATCCTCATCATCCTCATCATCCTCCTCATTATCACCATCAGCATCATCATCATCAGCATCATCACCAGCATCATCAGCACCACCATCATCATCACCACAATCACAATCACCATCACTGTCACCATCACCATCACCATGATCATCATCATCACCATCATCACCATATTAATCGTCATCATCATCAGCAACATCATCATCATCATCATCATCATCATCATCATCATCATCATCATCATCATCATCATCATCATCATCATCGCCATCACCATCACCATCACCATGATCATCATCATCATCATCATCATCATCATCATCATCATCATCATCAGTATCATCATCATCATCATCAGCATCAGCATCATCATCATGATCGTCCTCCTCCCCTTCCTCCTCCACCTCCTCCTCCTCCTCCTCCTTTCCCTTCTCCTCCTCCTCCTCGTCATCATCAGCAACATTATCAGCATCAAGAAGATAATCCTCATCCTCATTATCCTTTCCCTCGTCCTCAGCTTTCTCGTCGTAGTCCGCAGCACCATCATTGTCGCCATCGTCATCATCCTGGTCATCAGCCACACAAATCATTGTCATCACCATTGCCATTACCACTGTCACCACTACCACCATCATCGTACGCATCATCATCAGCAGCAGCATCACCACCACCCCGATCATAAGCATGATCATCATCATGTTTCCCATAACCGTCGTCAGCGTCACCATGATCATTTTCGCCGCCGTCGTCATCAGCAGCAGCATAAAAATCATCCTCCTCGTCATCATCAGCGGAATCATCATCATACTCACCATCAAAATTATCATCCGAATCAGCACCACCATTGCCACCACCACCACCTCCGTCATCACCATCACCGTCAGCATCATCCTCATCATCCCCGTCAGCCCCCGATCCCATCATCACCTTATTCATCCCAACCAGAATCAGCATCCTCACACTCACCCCCTCTCGAGTGATGACTCCGCCTCCGTTTCCCAGTAGTTTTTCGTCCTCGTCCTCCTCGTCCTCCTTCTACCGCTGACCGTCTCGTACTCATTCCTTTTGTGCCCCGTCACCTCATTATCTTCCTTTCAGATAACCAGCTCCCTTCCTGCGAACCGAATCTTTCCTGCTCCCCCATCGTCTGCTGCTGCTCCTCTCGCTTCCCCTGCCTCACAGCTGCTCGTCCTCCTGTTCCCGCCTATTCTCATCCACCTCCTTCTCCTCCTCCCATTCCTCCTCCTCCTCCTCCTCCTCCTCCTCCTCCGCCTCCTCCTCCTCCCCCTCCTCCTCCACCTCCTCCTCCTCCTCCTCCTCCTCCTCGTGACTAAGAGGAGGAGGAGGAGGAGGGAGGGAAACTAGGACCTCGTCTCCCTCCTCCTCCTTGAGATAACTTGCTGCACATCACTTGTGGTACCCCCCCCCGCCCACCGAAGACAGAGGACGGAGGGTGGAGGGAGAGAGGCCGATGCTCCTCTATTCCTCAGTGCGCCTGAATCGGGGCGCCGGCGCCGCTCGCGACTGGCACGCCCGCCCGCACGCCCGCCCCCCATCGGAAGCGAACGCACCCCCCACAACAGCTCACAACTCGCTCCTCCCGGCGTCACCGCGCCGTGCCGCACGCCAGAGCGCCTCCACGCGGGCCCAAAGGCCGCACCCGGAAGGGTGAGGGTCGTCCGCGCCTTCGGCGGGCCTGGGTGGGTGGGCCCGGTAAGAGTGAGCACCAGCTTGGCCACCTGAGCCCAGGGCCACGGAACAGCAAGGGGCACTGTGACAGCAAGGATGCTGCGCAGCACAGTGCGATGCCAGAGAAGCCAAATCCATGTTCCCGGAGAGGCCTCCGGGAACATGAGAACATGAAACCAGTGTTCCCAGAGAGGCCTCTGGGAACGTTCCCGGGAAGGCCTCCGGGATCATGAAAACCATGTTCCCAGAGAAGCCTCTGGGAACATGGCTTCACATTGCCACAGGCATCCCCCAAAGATGCCGCCAGACGAATGGAACATCTGTGCTCAACAGAACGTCGCGCCTGTAACCCTGTACGGCCCAACGCCACCCGACACATGCAACAGTTATCGTTTCTTTTTCGCTGACACTAGAAGAAGTCGCGATAACTTGTTGCACATATGGCCCCCCCCCCGCCCACCGAAGACAGAGGGCGGAGGGTGGAGGGGGAGAGGCCGATGCTCCTCTCTTCCTCAGTGCGCCTGGATCGGGGCGCCGGCGCCGCTCGCGACTGGCACGCCCGCCCTGGCCGCGACCCGACCCAGCGCACGCTCCAAAACTCAACCCCAACATGGGGCACGGTGTCCCCCGCCCTGCCCAAGAGAGCCAGGACGGCGAGACGTCAAGCACGAGCACCGGGAGCCTCGTCCTCGCTCTCGCCTCGACCCGCCTCGGCATCGCCCGACGGCTGCCTGTCCGATCCAGAACCGGAATGGGATGACTGCGAGGACGAGCTGCCTTCGCCACGCTCGCCGCCGGCGCCGGCTGCGGCGCAGTCCATCGGCCAGCCACGCGAGGCCGCGAGCCGGACGCACTTCCTGCAGGCGTCATGAAAGTCAGCGCGCCCCTCGTGGAAGGTGACGGCCGACTGCGGGAGACCACCGAAATGCCAACCGCACAGCGAGCTCCGCTCGCGGGGCACTCTCGACTCGCACGCGCGGGCCCTAGCGACATGAGTCTTGCCTAGAGCGCCGGAGACGAGGCGTAACCTCTCCTTCCTCTCCCGCATCCGCTCCTCCACGAGGCGCCCGACCAACTCCTCGAGGCCGACCGGGCCAGCTGCGCCGCCCTGGCGCTCGCACCTTCGCGCGCCAACGGGGCATCGCGCGCCCTGGCCGCGGCCATCGTCGCAGGCCCCGACTCCACGTTGGCATCGCTCTTCGCCGCCCGAAGCGCCAGAGACCGCGCCCGCGGGGCCCGCGACCGCGCGTCCTCGACGCAGCGCCTGACGGCGTCGGAGCCCCACCGGCCGAACCTCTCGACCAGCCACTGCTCGACGCCTGCCGCGGCGAGCAGCTGTGCGCCCATGCGCCGCAAGGAGTGGCCGCTCAGCCGCCCGGCGCCCTCCGGCGCAAGCAGCGCGCGCACGGTCGCGACCGCGGCCCTCTCGACGACCGCATAGCCGGCGGCGTCCGCGAAGAAAACGGGTCGCAAGGTTCCGCCCGGTCAGCCCGTCGTCTCTGGAGCTGGGCTCGGACGACGCACACTGGGCAGATGGCCTGCCACTCCGGCCTGCACTGGCAGATGAACGAGTGCACCCAGGTGCATCCGCAGCCCTGGATATCCTTCTTCGCGACGCCCAGGCCCACGGCAACCGAGTCCGTCTCCTCCAGAAAGCGGACGCGCTCAATTGCAAGGAGAGCCACCTCGATCTCCCGCAGCATTCACCAAGTACCTACAGCGATGAAGCGGCCGGGCTCGGTCGGACCGCCCCAGGCGCGCGCTCGCTTCACGTGGGCCGCCCCGAGCCACGACTCCAGGGCGAAGACCGCCGCGTGCGTCGGCGGCCCGAGGCCCCTGATCGTCGCGCATCGGCACCCTCTCATCACCCCGCGCAGTCTGCCCAACCAATCGTAGTCCTCCTCGACGCGCATCTGCTTACACCTCTCCAGATAGCACGCCGTGGACCCCTAACCTTCTGCACGCAGCGCGCCGCCGATCCTGCGCGCCTTCGATCTCTGGCGTAAACGACAGCAAATCGAAACCGCTCGCCTTGGCCAGCGAGACGAGAGCCTTCGTGTAGCTGCCCACCCCGGGACTCGTCGCCACCGCCAGGGTGGCCCCCCTGAACTCTGCGGCCGCGGCAGCGGATCGCTGCGGACGTACGATGACCTGCAGCGCCCCCGCCAGACAGGCACGCTCGGCTGGCGCCGCTGCTGCTGTCTCATCCCACCTTCCCCTGACTGGCGCGGGTCCCGGGCCCGAGAGAGCACCTGGCAGGTCACCTGGCACCCCGCCGCCGGTTTTCTCCTCCTCCTCCTCGCGGCTGCGGCGCCCCCGCGCGATGTCGACCCGCCTCGGCCCCTCGCGCAGCGCGTCGGCGGGAGCGTTGACGACGAGGATCACTCGCGGGGGGCCCCGCTCCAACGAGCGAGCGCCCTTGTCGCGCCCCAGCGGGGAAGCCTCTCCGATAGCTCGCCTGGCGGGACCTCCGGCGCGCCTCCGCTCAAAGCGCCTAGTCTGGCTGGTCGCGGCACCGTCGTCCGCCGGCAGCCTTGTCCAGCACCGCCCGCGCGAGGGCCGTGGAGCGCTACCGCGACCTATCCTGCGCGGCCACGGGAGTCCGCGTGCACCCAGCCTGCCGGGGAGCGCGAAGCGCCCGCCCGGCTCGAAGGCCCTCGGGAGCGCGCCCGCGACGTCGTTGAGCTCGCCCGGCACGTGTTCCAGCACGTCGATGCCGTACCGACCCTGCGCCACGTCGAGGGCGATTTCCCCGGCGATCTCGTTGATGGCGGGCGTCGGACTGGCCATCTTACCAAGAGTGACTCGAACGCCTGTCCGGTGCTGCGCCCACCTGGGAAGCCAAGTCCGCGCCGCGACCGCAATGGCGAGCGCCGCCAGGACCGCCC